AAAGCCATCTATTCTCTAGTTGTTGTTCTCTATCTTGGCACAGAAAGTCATTAAAAAAAAGGGCAAACGAGCAAGCAAAAGGAGAAAGACAAGAAAAAAAAATTATTGATACAGAAATATAATATTTATAAATGGACAAAGGAAATACCAAGATTGTACAGTTAGTGCTCAGTATATCTTTGATTAGAAATTAACCATAAAAAACATTCTATTACATGAAACTACGTTAAATTATTTTAACAATATAAATAAGAATTTACATTTCTGAGCTAACTCCTCTGGCTTCTCTAGATCTTATAAATCTTTCACCTTTTAATACTATCAGTTATTTACCATTAATAATATGAACCATGCTTTGTTATTGAAAACAGGGTGAAAAAGGTCCTCAAGGACCAGCTGGACGTGATGGAATACAGGGGCCTGTTGGTCTTCCTGGCCCTGCAGGACCAGCCGGTTCTCCTGGAGAAGATGGTGACAAGGTCAGTTGACTGTAGGAAGCCCAGTTGGATAGTCCTTCCTATCTGCAACTTGTGCAACGCAAGTACTTCAGCAGCCACCTCTTTATTCATTGGCAAAATTTCAGTGATAGCATAACATGTTATAGAGATGAAAACGTAATTATATTACTATTCAAATATCATGTTTCAGGTCTCTTCCATATATGGGGGTGGCAGATACAGGACACTCTCCTCTTGGGGCTTCTGTGGGGCTTGAGAAGTTAAGCTACTTATCTATTGGTTCAGCCCCTGCTGCAGAAGAAACATAGTGAAGATAGATTTGCAACCTTTCCACTGGAGTTGCAAGATAGGTGGTTTCTAATCAGCAGGACCTCCTGGATCCTGCGATTTTCTTCTTTTTTTCAGATTGGACCTTGACACTATCTCCCCGTCCTCCACAGTTATACTGAGGACTGGCTTTGCCACTCTCACTACATGGTGGCCATTCAGGGTTTTAAAAAAATGCATGTTTCTTATGAAAAGAAAGAAATACAAAGCAAGAACAGGGAGTCATCTAGATAACATTTTCTGTGTTCCTCCATTGGCCAACTAGAGAGAAAGCTGACTAGTTTAAGGGGGGCAAACACCACATGGGGGGTGAAAACACTGTTTTTATTTGGGCAGGACAATGATGCTGGTGGTCACAGGGGCCTCAGATTGATAAGATGGGGTATATATCTCTCATTTACCCATGCGCACTCCTTCTCAGAACTTTTCAATGAACGATCATTTCTGATTTAATCTAAACCAGGAAAAATGTAGCTTCCAGCTTTGAAACAAATCAGCTAATGTCTATGGTTTATTGAATGTTCCAAAGCTGGTCATTTTAGATGAAATGGGAATCTATTTTAATCAGAAACTTTTCCATTTATTCACAACTCAGAGAGGGGATTATGTGTACAGGGCAAGGCGTTTTTTTGTATCTTCAGAGATGAATATCTGAATGAAAACTTAACTATATTTCTTTGATATGGTTGCTTACGATGTTTTTTGATAATGTTACACACAGAAGCAAGGAGCTGTTCTTCAGTCAATCATGATTAGAGTAACTTTATATTGAAGGAGATGTGAGGGTAAAACAAAAGTAGCAATTTCCTTATTTTAAAATTGAGTTAAACTAAATTTCATTGCAAGAATGTTTCACTTTGAGCTTTAGCAGCCAATATCTCTCCTAATCTCTCACACCAAAATGTGATTGATCAACCCAAAATTGCCCTCCTCAGGCTGTCACTCAAAGGCAGAGAGAATAATGTGGTGACATTTGAAGGTACTTCAGTATTGATTACTGTTAACTCAGAAATGGGTCCCTTAAAGAGAAGCATAACACTTTTTTTTTTATTACAGGGTGAAATTGGAGAACCGGGTCAAAAAGGGAGTAAAGGTGACAAGGGAGAAAATGTAAGTCTTTTCTGTTCTTTTTTTTCCTCTGGCTACTGCCTTTACTATACTGCTTTTTTATTGCTTGGCAATAAGGAAATGCATGAAAAAAATGTATCAAAAAATATGCTCAGCAAGCAGGAAAGATGAGTATGCTTTGCAGAAAGATTCACATTTCTAATTAATAAAACAAAGAAGGGGTCTTGGTATTCCTTGATAATGCTTTTCAGTGATAGTCATATTTCTTCAATGTGGTCCAACTTCCATTTTCTCACCACTGTCCTTGACAGATGCTGGCTTCTTTTGCTTCATAACTCAACCCCTTTGTGGTTGCAAATCTTCCTGAGCCTGGAAAACCTCAAAGAAAGCATGTACAGAGAGGCTGGGCTACCGCTATTCCAAGAGACCTTTGTGGTTGGTCAGATTTTCAAGATAAAGCCAGTTCTTTGCCCTGCTGTTGAAGTACCAAAAATCTCTGGGCTTTCTAAAGTTTGGAGCTAGGGAGATGGATATCTCCCCAGACTATCCCTGTGATTTCTCCTATTTTAGCAAGAGAAATTCCTGCTGCTTGACACACTCACATAATACCATATGTGGCACTTTACTTATCGGGATGAAAAGATTCCATTAAACTTTCTCCAATACTTGACTTACTTCATTTAGACATTTAACAGACTCTGAAAACCTTTATTTATTTCTGAAGGGCATTTTGATTGCCGTAGATGATTACTGTTGTTTTTATATGAGGTTCCTTTATTCTACTTGTTATTTATTTATTTATTTATTTGTCATATTTATATAGCCGCCCATCGCACACAAAGTGACTCTGGGCAGTGTACAACAATTGAATAAAACAGCAAAAAAAAAAAAAAATTAAAAAACCAATCATTATAAAAGGATAAAAAGTAATTATTAAAATAAAAAATATTATCCATTTTTTTAAAATATACAAACCCCACAAAGAGAGCAGAATTTCAATCATAGTGGAGCCATATAAGAATGGTTCCCAAAGATCCCAGGCCTGATGACACAACTAGGTCTTGAGGGACTTCCTTAAACAATAGCAGGGAAGGAGTGAGCCTAACCAGAAGGGAGAATGTTCCACAAGGAAGGAGCCACGGCAGAGAAGGCCCACCTCCTGGGACCCACCAAATGCAAGTCCATGGCCAATGGAATGTGTAGCATACCTTCCCTGCCAGATCTAATGGGATGGGCTAATGTAATTGAGGAGAGGCGGTCCCTCAGATAATCTGGCCCCATGCCATGAAGGGCTTTAAAGGTCAAAACCAGCACCTTGAATTGGACCCAGAAGCAGACTGGTAGCCAATGCAGCTCACAGAGCAGAGGTGTAATATGTGCTTTTCTAGGAGTGCACGTAATTGTCTGTGCCACCACATTCTACACCAGTTGAAGCTTCTGGATACTCTTCAAGGGCAGCCCCATGTAGAGCACATTACAGTATCCAATCTGGAGATGACTAGGGCATGAGTGACTGTGAGCAGAGCCTCCCAATTCAGGAAGGGGTGCAACTGGTACACAACACGAAGCTGTGTAAAGGTCCTCTTCAAGTAGGAATCACAAGTCTAGGAGGACCCTCAGATTGTACACCCAGTCTGTCTGGGGCAGTGCCACCCCACCAAGCATCAAAGATGGTATAGTCCTAGAACCACCAGGCTCCAAAACCCATTACTATATTAATATGGAAAAAGAAATGTATGGATGTTTCTTATTTGGAAAAATATTCCAAAAGTTAATAACAGTAAGACTTTTTAGACAAATTTGCTGTAATTTGAATTCTCTTGATCTCTAGAAAATGTTAAAAGATTTTTTAGTGAAATAATACTGAATAGGGATGTGAAAAGGCATTATATGTATATTCTACAAGTTTTGAAATCAAATTTTACTTTGAGGAGATCTATTAGAATATTTTAAATGAAATATTCATATTTTTGGCCTGGTTGCTACATGCAAAGTAAAAATTGCAGCTTGCTAATTTCATTTAGTTATAGGTGCTGCTTATATAATTACTCTTTCTCAGTTTTCATGTTTGCATTTTTCTACATGGGTGCTTTTAGTCAATCATCAGCTATATAAGCAATATGTCAGAAATATATCAGCACGCACATTTTGGATGTTCTCAGTCATGTACATAGCATGGATCATTTTCACTCTCAGGGATTGTTACCAAATTATTGTCATTTTATTTGCTCAATAAACTTCATGTAAATATGAACACATTTTTAATACGATTACAAGATGCTCTGGTTTGTTTTAATTTAAGTCTTTCTTTTAGTTTTGCCTTTCTTAAAACAAGCAGGCCTGAAAGGAATATTTTCAAGGAATATATAACTTAGAAAATTTCCTGGGAAACTTATTTAGGCTTACTGTATTTACTGAATGGTAATATATTATTGAGTATAATTTTAAATTCCATTGTATTTATTTGTTCAAGCATGACTATTTGAAATCAAGTACTAGTGATAATGCCCTTTACCTAGAACAGTATGAACCATTTTAATTTAGATTGTTTTCTAGCCCAGTATTTTAAAGATTAGGTCAAGATACCATCATTCCCTTTCTATCAGTCTACATTCTAGACTACAGGTAGTCCCTGGGTTAAGAATGCCTGGTTTATGGATGACCCATAGTTAAGAACAGAGCCTATTGAAGCAAAATTCAAGTTAAATACTCAATGATTTGAGTTAAATACACAATGATTCGAGTTAAATACACAATGGTTTGAGTTAATTACACAATGCTGCTTGCACAGTATTATACAATAATACAGTTTCGGCTTACATATGAATTTGAGTTAAGGACAGACCTTGGGAACGGAACTCGTTCTTAAACTGGGGACTACCTGTATATGGAAAGGGAGATCCTTTGCTGAAGTACCAGCTCCTTCCCTCCCTTTCTTTCCAGCTAGTTGCATTAATTCTTTATGCTGAACTTTAGCTTAAGCTGTTAGATTTGCTTTTGTTTTTCCTTCTTTTACCTTCTACTTGTATAATTTATTATATACTTTAAATCTGAGAAGAAGATTATTATTGTGCTTGCTATTGGGGTTATTGATCTACAAACATCTCAGGGTGCCCTTTCAGCTGAGGAGAAAGGTAGAAATGCTGCAAATGAATTAATAAATTAAAAAGCTACAATACTAAAGCTCGTCCATTCAGAAGCAAGTCTAATGCATTGGGAAGATGCAAAAAAAAAAAGCAACTCCAAAACATTTGTCTGTTGCCACGAATGTAAAAAAACTTAAAGTAATAGCCCCATCTCTCCAAAGAAATATGGTGATGCATGCTATGTTTGAATAATGCAAAAAGCCTTCCTGTAGATCCTCTGTTTGTTTGACTTTAGGTGCTAGTATTACCCTCTTTTTGTTCTCTTCCAGGGTCCTCCTGGGCCACCTGGACTCCAAGGTCCCATTGGTGCTCCCGGAATAGCGGTAAGTTTCTTGTTTGTTATAAATAACAAATGAGTTCTTCAGAACTTTTTTTCTTTTAAAAAATCTCATTATTCATTGAAAAAGTTCAGATATGATTTACACAGCCTAAAACCGGGAGTTTAAATCACATCCTCCAGGCCTCTACGGCTACCTACCTGCAGGGCTACTATAAGCTCCAGGATTAAATCAGTGCCCTTCTGCTTCATTTGTCCATGAGTATGACAACGCAAAAGCAAAACACTGTTTTGGCAAAGGTTCCTTATTGAACACAAAAGCATTCTGTCAGTGACTTTACATATTATACAGGTGCTTTATGTATATATCCCATTGCTTAATGTTGCATTCATTTAAAAAATGTGTATTTGTGAATCAGCCACAAGTCTAGTATGGATTGCATCTCTTAGGACTTTTTCAGGGTAATGTCTAATCAAGAAGATTCTATAACGATTTCAGATCATTGTGAAAGACAACACTACTATCACTTATTTAGCATTTTTTCCAAGCAAACAAAACTTCCATCTGCTAATAAATGGTACTTTTGACATTTCTGTGACAAGCATCCAAACTCCCTCACTATTTACTCTTTTAGAATGTCTGTTTTCCATGGTTGAATTTATGGAATCATTTGCAAGAAATAAAGTAAAGATAGCAATCTTGTACATAGTTAAGCTGCCTCAGTATTTAAAAAGTCAATGAGATGTTTACGTAGCCTACAGAGTTGCAGTCAGAATCTGTGGAGGGAGTTCTTCCCCATTTTCTAGATTGATTTTTCTATAGAACTAACATAGTTGCAATGTTGGAACATATTTTGTACTTTTAGTTATAAATATTCCTAAGTTAGAATTAACCAGCATCTGCAAACTTATAGCATAATGACTGCATTGATCAATAAAAAAACAACAAAATCTCTGTTGGTGACTTTATTGCAACTGAACTACTTACTTTAACTGCCTCAAAAGAACATTAATGTGAACACTATAATTGTTGAATGAATGAATCAGAATGTTATCATACAATGTAATTTCCAGTTTATAATACAAAATCTTTTTCCAAAGTATGTTAAGTGCAATTATATCTCATTAATGTCAGTGCTGTGTTATTTATAATCAGAATGCAGTTGTCACAAAGAGTGGTAATTCAGATTTCCATGAATGTAGGATCTTCAAACCTGACTCTGTGATTTACAGTTAATTATATTTATTTCAATCTACAGGGAGGTGATGGAGAGCCTGGTCCAAGAGGACAACAAGGAATGTTTGGCCAGAAAGGTGATGAAGGTCCACGAGGCTTCCCTGGTCCTCCAGGACCTATTGGCCTTCAGGTATGTTTCACTGTGTCCTCTCTTTCCTGAACAAATTAATCTTGTTTTCATCTATTGTAAAGTGAGCATAAAAATATGGAGTACTGATAGTAGTAAAAACAATAAATACTTAAATACTATTTCCAAACTATCTTGTAAAATTGTTAGAATTGCAGATGAAGTACTAAGGCAGAGATAGTGATGTGCCTACTGAGTTCTTTAAAGACAAGGTTTGAATCAAAATTATCCTCTGCAACTAAAATGATTACAAGTATGAAAGGGATGATAAGCTATCCAGGAACACTGGATCTCTCATCAGGACATCCACCAAAACAGGAGACAAGAGCAATCCTCAGCATTTGAGGGCTTTCCCAGGACTTCTCTGCATGCACAGCTGCTTCATTTTCAAAGCTCCAGAAGGTAGAATTAATGAGTCAATCTGCTGCCTAGTTTACAAAGTAAAATACATTCCAGTATAAAATGGATTCAATTCATTGCAACATCTGGAACACTTTTCTACTTAAGAATAAGTATTAAAATGTTTTTGGATAAGAAAGAAAACATGTCTTATTTATAAATCAAGTATTTAAAAAGTTGCATGAGAGTGAAATCACTGTTTTAGTAAAGTGACTGATGAACCTAACATTTTTAGCTGTTCCAGAATGGAAATACAATGCAAACGTGGCCTGCACTGGAAGTGTTATATACGTCACCTTTGTTTAATTTACGTAAAATAAGTTTAATTAATATAAAGGGTAACTACTCATTAATCTGAGGTTTAAACACATGCTGAAAATATTTCTTTCAATCTCATTTTCCTTTGTATTAATTTCACGTACCAGTGTTAACAATGATGGTAATAAAGGGCCACTGAGCAATCAAGAGTTCATGCAGAACTCATAGTAACAAGAAAAATCCATATAGGATGTATCTTTCTTTTTGTTTCTTGATTTTTCTTGATATCAAATTTTACTGGATGTACCCAAATTATCATCACATTGTCTGACAAGTTTGCAATTATTCATGCTAGAAAAAGTTGAAATAACAGAAATAATTATTTTAAAGTATTACCGTTTAATAGCAGAGTTTCTTCTAATCCCAGTAAGCCTGTGGTAAACACTGCAGCTAATTCTTTCTTAAGCTTTTTGTAAATATGCTGCTGTTTCTAAAGTCTTTTCCTTGAATATCTGAAACTTGTTAGCTATTCATCTGCTAAAATGTGATGTCTGTCTATCTTGCTACATCCATTGTGCGATCTCTGACTCTAAATAGTAATATGAAATGTGTTTAATAAAGAACATACTCAATAGAACCTTTAGCAAACTACCTACTTATAGGGATGTAGAAATTTATTCCATCTAAAGGATTCTGTGGTTGTAATAGCTGGTGTAAGTAGAACTGATCAGATAGAATGAAGGTTTCCAAGGTATGCTATGAAACCATTATTGCCAAAGCACCATAGAAAATGTCATAGAAGTTACTTGAAAACAAGAATAAAATCATTCATGTATTTATTCAGCATTCTTAAGTCACCTCTCAAGGGGGTGAAACATCTTACAGAAAGCAAATAAAAATGAGCAAGAATAATAAATTGAAGTGATACAAAGAAAAGGCAAATTTTAAAAAGTGCATGCCAGTATCAATTCTTCAAACCATAAGTTAGGAGAGAGTCTTGACTCAACTGAAAGCAAAATGCGTTAGATTCCTACTGATGGTTTTGACAGTGGAGATATTTGAGTGTAAGTATATCAAGACTCTGCTTGAAAACTGATTTGGAAATAATTAGCATACTTAACCTTAGAAATATCTATTCTCCCATAATTGCTAATAGTACTATTTACAGACTGAAAAGTTAAACTGTGTATAACTTTTACATTAATTGAGGACCTAAGTTTGAAATACTATAGACATGTTTATGGCTTAATAAATCTTAGTAACAAACTGCCAGGTTAGTTGTTAGTGAATGTCATGACAGCAAATTGTAATTGATGAGATTCTAGCATCCACAACACACAGCTCTTTACTTTTTCTACAGTCACATCTGCAAGCAAGTGATTTGTAGGTAATTATTCATCTAAGGCATTGAGGCCACAATTGTCCTAATCCTTAGGACATCTGTGTACCTTTTCTTTACTGAGATACTTAGTGACTTAAAATGTAATTCACACACAGTGGCACCTCCCAGCTTTTTTTCCCAGAAATGCCTACAGGAAAATCAGGCACACACTTTTATTTATATTTATATCATGCCTTTCCTATAAGCAGCTCAGGGCAGCATACATTTCATTATAACAGTCTTGCAGAATAGGATAATAGTAATTTGCCAAGCGTCTTCAAGTAAGGGCCATAGTATTATTCTGTACTAATATTTATTGATATATTTAATGTATCTGGAAATTGTGGCGCACACTAGAGTAAAGGGCAGAACTGACTGTGAGCAGAGCTAGGCAAGTTTCAATCTTGTTCTAAAATGTTCATCATCACCACCATCATAAATCAAATGTGTATTCTGCTCAACTCTCAACTATCTTGGAGTGTTCAAATAAGCAAGTAACCCTCAAAGCCTTGCAACTTATCTGAACTGCGCCCTACACCATGTAATAATGATTGCAAAATAGTATAGTACTCGCATATCTAAGTCTCCTGTGGTAAATGATGTATCATATACTGTATTATCATAGTATTTTAGATGGTAAAATACTCAGACTTACTTTGGTAGAAGACAGGATATAGATAAATCTAATTTCCTCCAAAAAATCAATAACTACCATTAATTCTACAAGTTATTTATATCAAGTATTATCCTTTAGGCCAATTGTATCTGTTGATTTCAGTAGGACCCTCGGCACCATAAGTCCATCACCCTTTTATTTATTTATTTTTATACACACACACACACACACACAC